AGGGCAGATGTGTCCTTTCCATTATGTACTAAACATAACCTATAAATATTAAGAGTGGCGGCGGCAGATTAGTTTAGAATCTGTCCCTCCTTTCAACAACTTGTGTTMTCTTGTTTCTCTTCTATTCTCTCTCCTTTCTCTCACTTTTCTTCTGTTTTGCAAACCTAAAACCTATTAGGATTCAAGACTGATTACAGTCTTGATCTTCTACCGAGTGAAATGGTGTAATTGGATCTTGGGGTGTATTGAGAATTGCTTCTATTCAATATCGGTGAATGGAATAGTAGTGGATCATTTTCTGGCTCTAAGGGGAATTAGACAAGGCGACCCTCCCTCTCCCTTTTTACCTTGATTGCAGATGTGTTGGGGAGACTTATAGAGAGAGTAGATTCCAAAAACCTAGTGAAAGGATGGAGGGTTGAAAGAGATGGAGTGCCTATCAGTCACTTACAATTTGCTAATGATACAATTTTGTTCTGTGATGGGGACGAGGTGGGGTGGGTTTGGAACTTGAAGATGGTAGTGCAAATTTTTGAGAAAATGTCAAATCTGAAGGTGAATTTTGATAAGAGTTGTGTAGTGGGGATTAACATCGGAAAGTGCTATGAGAGGAAGGGCTGAAATTTTGGGGTGTGAGGTGTCACAATGGCCCTTAAAGTATTTGGGTTGCCTCTTGGGGATAATCCGGGGAATAACAACTTTTGGAGCCTAGTAGTTGACAAATTCACCAAAAGGTTGGCTTCTTGGAAGAAGAATTATTTATCCTTGGGGGGGGGGGGGCGTAGAATCACTTTGATTAAGTCCACTTTGGCTAGCTTGCTAGTGTATTGTCTATCTGTGTTTAGGATCCCTGAGGGTGTAAGTAAAAGTTTAGAGAAGATGACGAGGGACTTCTTGTGGGAGTTGGGGGAGGACAGGAAAGACCATAGGGTGAATTGGGAGATTGCCTCTAGAAGTAAGGAGAATGGTGGCTTGGGGCTAGGAAACATCAGGAAGAGAAATGAAGCTCTTTTAGGAAAGTGGTTATGGAGGTTATTAGAGGACAGAGATAAGTTATGGGCTAAGGTGATACTAAGCATACATGGGCTTGCTAATGATGGGTGGGGCACTGGACTGGTGGCAAGGACTACTAGAGCCTCTCCCTGGAGATCCATACATGCCATTCTCCCTTCTTTCTTGCAGCGCATCTGGTATGATTTTTGCTCAGGTAACCAGGTGAAGTTTTGGGAAACCTTTGGGTGGGAGAAGTTCCATTAAAAGATAAGTTTCCATCCTTATTCTCCCTTTCTCAATTTAAAGGGGAACCTGCCTCTTCCTTTCTGGTCCCTTCTGACTCTACCTATGGTTTTGACTGGGATTTGGGCTTTAGAAGAGGCCTTGGGGACTCGGAACTTGAGGATGCTCTAGAGTTAGTTCAAATTCTGAATGGGGTGGTTTTAGATCCATCAAAAAGGGATAATAGGATTTGGACTTTAACCCCTTCTGGCTTCTTTTCTTGCGCCTCCTTTAAGTCTTTGGTGTTCTCCACTAGAAGTAGCTTTCAAAATTTCCCAGTAAAGGAAGTCTGGGGTAAACCGATACCTTTGAGGATTGGATCTTTTTGTTGGGAAGCCTTCTTGGAAAGATGTAATACCTGTGATTTAATAGGTGCTTTTTTCAATTTTAATGAAATATCTTTTTTTTACTATAAAAAAATATATCTGATCCCTTGTGTTGAGTCTATAGCTAGAGTTATTGTAATGGAAAATTACAAGACCTGATGCGACAATTAAGGCTTAATTTAGTGAATTCTAATTGTACCTAGGTACTTTCCTCCCTTGCTCTCTCTTATTTATTTGTTTTTTTTTTTTAAATTTTTTTGGTATCTCTCTCTCTCTCTCTCTCACACACACACACACACACACACACACACACACACACACACACATTTCTTCTTCTAAATTATCCATCCCCTTGCTGTTTGTTTTTACAACAAGAATTCTCTTTCTTCCTATCATTCTCATAGTCTTAAGTAGACAACAAGCTGTCACCTATAGTTGTCATCCTTAATCACCTAAATTACCTTTTAGCCTAGAAAACCCACCACCAAACCTGAAAGTTGTAGGACTTCTTACCCATCCACCATCACTTTCCTGATGTAAATGTCATGGACCTTCAGGAAGAGATTGGTATCTTAGGATCCAAACCTGTGAGACTTCAAAGGATCCTTATGTTACAATTGAAGTAGAACAGGGTGCGCTATTTGGTGATCTAAGCTGGAACAAATGGCTACTTGGAAAATTAACTTGTCACACTTTGACACACTGACATTACTTTTGCAGGTGGATTATAGTCAATTATGCATTCTCCTGTTTACCATATCTAGAGGTAATTTGCAAAATCCTTAGGTATTTGAAAGGTACTTTGAAGGAATGGACTTTGATGTTAGACATCGGACTAGTTATGTCTTATTGGTTTCTTTGATGCTGATTTAGCAGGTGATCACACATATTAGGAGGTCCACATTTGGATATTGTGTGTTTATTGCTGGAAATCTAGTCACATGATGAAGTAAAAAGTAGATTATTGGTTTTAAACTCAGTGCTGAAGCTATGGGGCCATGGTTCATGTTATAATTTAGATGATGTGAGCAAAATCCTTACTAGTTACTACAAGAGATTGGATTTGTTCTGCTGATGCTATGCATCAGCATTGGGTAGCCAAATGTTAGGTCTGTATCCAGTCCACCCCTTCCAAGACCTATATAGCTGGGACCAACATTGGGTAATGGCCTTTTCTGATTCTATGCATGTGTGTTGTAAGAAATCCTGTTTTTTTCATAAGGGGACTGAGCACATAGAAGATGAGCATCATTTTACTTGGGAAATGGTACTTAAAAGGAAAATTATCCCTTCATATGTGAAGACTGGTGAACAGCTTGGTATTGTATTTACTAAAGCTTTGAGTAAGAGTATTTTCTCAATTATGTGTAGCAAGCTGGGCATATATGGCTTTTTACATTCCAGCTTGAGGGGGACTTTTAGTAGTCAAGGAGTGATTATACTGCAGAGGTCAGTTCTTATATTATTTATTTATCAGTACTGGTCAACCTAGTGGTATAAATAATGAGGGGTAAATTTGTGTCCATGACTTCATTATAGAAATAAAGTGGACAAGATTGTCCCACAAGTTGGCTAGGGCGGCTGTCAATGGGTTGGTTCTACCTGGAAGACCCGAGTTGACTGAACTGATTATATCAGTTCTGGTTCTCTGATTTTGTCCTGATTAATAATTTGATTGGTTTTGGTTTTGCTTGTTCCAAGCCAACTCAAAGCTGAATTGATTAATTTGTTAATAATATATAAATATGCCCTAGTTTTTTTTTTTGTAAATTTTCTAATATTTTGAGTAAAATTGTAAATTTGACAAGTAATATATAAGATAATTTTGATTAAAAAACATTTGATTTATTAAGTATATAAATAATTTATTATTTTACTGTCATTTTTATTAAGATTATATTATCAAAAACCAAGTTTTAGGTTGTTATTTATTTAAATATTTATAGCTGTTAGTATAATCAGGTCTAATCAGGTCAGACTCTATCATCCTGATTATTAATCAGGACGGTTCTTGGTCTATGGTTTTGTCCCGAATAATAATCAGGACTGTACTGGTACAGGCTGTCCCAAACCCGACCCAACCCATTGACAGCCCTAAGATTGGCTGAAGCCACTGGACCAATTCTCTCTCTCTCTCTCTCTCTCTCTCTCTTTCTCTTCCCCATTCTCTTTCCTCTTCTCTTCTGTTTTTTTCTCATAAGTGATACTGGCGAATTCCATATATTTGTGCTTATACTATGTTCTTCCTTTTGCGTTGGACTCTAGAGCATCATCCACCTCTAGAAGGAACTTTGAGGGGCTGTTTCTTTGTGATTTTTATATTTCTTGTATTGTTTTCTTTATTTTTTCTATTGGAGGCTACCTTTATCTTCTCTTGTTTAATGTTTCATACTTCTATATTAATAAATTCTATTTTCTTCTTGATCTCCCCTTTCTCAAACACATGTAAGAAAAAAAAAGAAGATTGTATTGAAGTAAGGGTAGTATGGAAATGATAAATGTCTCTTCAAGGGACGATTTAGATGAAATTTGGTTGTTGTTCAGTCAACAGCAGGATCTAGATGGTGGCATGTGTTTAAAAAATGAGTTTCCATTTCATATCAAATTTAAGGGTTTCAAGCATTCAGATGAGTCAAGATGTTGTCTTGCTTGCAAGAGGTCTCTTTCTTGAATATTTTTTTTTTTTTCATATTGATTGGCGTTGAAGGAGGTTATCTTACTATTCTTTAGCAAGTAGCACCATTACTGGAATTAAGCTTTTGGCATGATAGTAAAGATGTAGGACTTGTATTTACCTTCTCTTTCCTGTCATGTGCATTATGAGGCAAATGAGTAGTAGGAATGTTAAGGAACATGTTTCCATAATTCATGTTGGTCTGGAATAATGTGTTTTCATTTTGACTCTACCTTTTTTATTCTTTTGTTGCAGGTTTATTAATTCTTGCATTACTGCATTAGGTAGCAGTTTGTTGGAAAAAAGATTAAGTAATAGGGCTTGAAACCAACACCTATGTATTAAACTTAATATTATCCTTTATCCTTCATGCAGTATCTATTTGTGTGAGATATTGTAAATACTCTTTTATTCTTCTATACTCTCCCTTTGTTTTATTTAACTATGTAAAGATGAAATATGATGTCATTATGCCCTTATGACAGCTTGCCCGTAGGGTTCGCGAGATGCGAGAGACAAGAGCAATCCCAATAGTTAAGAACTTAGAGAGAAAGGGATCAGCAATGGGACGAAAAGCACTTAACAGTTTACAGTCCTTCCCTCGAGGCATGGAATGTATAGATCCTCTTGGACTTGGGTAAACTTTTCTTCTGTTTCTAATACCTGTCATATATTACTTGCTCACTAACGGCTTCAGGTGAAGTTTCTTTGCTCTTTTTTTTGTGTAATTCTTAGAAGCTCTCAGATCATCATGAAAAGAAAAACACTGATTAATGTTTGTGTTATCATTGCATGCATTACATGAAAATGAAAAGGGTGTTTGATGAGTTTCATAGAAGAGGGAAATTTGAAGGAGTGGAATCACCTAACCATTGGTGTAATTGAGGAAAGTAAAAATGTACTGAATCAACTAGAAGCTTTGGAGAAGAAAGAAGCAAAACAGGTAGGAGTTTGGAGGAGGAGGAAATAAAGAGAAGAGTGGAATTGGAGGCTGAATTGGAAGTTTATTAAGAAGAGAGGAAATTTTCTGGAGACAAAAGTCGAGATGTAAATGGCTAAAAGAAGGGGATGGGAATAGTAAATTTTTTCATTCTTTGGCCAATGGGAGGATGACAAGAATAGGGTTTCCAGATTGGTGGTCAATGGGGTGGAGTTACGGGGGAGAGATGCTTTGGTGGAGTCAATAACTTCACACTTTAGAACACTCTTTGCCCCTGAGCTACAAAGAAAACTAGTGCTAGAAGGTCTACACTGGAATAGAATCCCCCAAGATGTAGCAGCTAAACTAGAGTAACCATTCTCATTGGAGGATATAAGGAGGTCTTGGAGAGCTGGGAGAGCACCGACCATCTTTTGCTTCACTATTCTTTTCCTTCCTTTGTGTGGCAAAGTTTCCTAGCCTTGGAAGGCAAAGCTTGGGTGGCCCCAGCTGAGGTTTCAGACCTGTTAAACCCAAATTGGATGAGAACTTCTACGGGGAGGCAGAAAGTTCTTTGGTAGTGTGTTAGAGGAGCTGTCCTTTGGGGCTTGTGGAGTGAGAGGAATGCGAAAATTTTTGAAGAAAAATATAAATCCCCAGAGGAGATCTGTGAACTTCTTTTGATTAGGGTGGCTCATTGGGCTTCAGTTTGTTCAGAGATGTTTCAGTGAATGATTTGCTTAGAAATTGGCAAGCTGTGGATAGCTCCTATATCTCAGGACCTCCAAGAATGACTGAATGGGGTCCTCCATCAGTTGGAATGCTAAAACTGAATTTTGATGGGTGCTGTCTGGGAAATCCCGGAGAGTCAGGAGTTGGGGGAGTTGTAAGAGATGAAAGTGGCTGCATTCTCCTCAGTTTCTCAGGTCCAATTGGACATGGGAATTCTCTTAGGGCTGAGCTGTTGGTAGTAATTCAAGGGATGGAGCTATGAAAGCTAAAAGGTTGGAAAGAAGTGGACATTGAAGGGGATTTCCGAATGGTTATCTCTTGGCTGAAGAAGAGAGAAGATTCTCCTTGGAGGATGAGGCCACTGGTATGACAGACACTTTCTGGGGGATTCCCTGAATATCTTGTTCATGTGGATTCCTAGAATTTCTAATTCTTTGGTTGACTCACTGGCTAGATTGGGTGTGTGCAAGGATCATCTCGAGTGGGGTTGCCCCGGACCAGGCTGTAATCTGTAATATTTTGCATTACTGTTTTTGTTTCTCTGCTGCTTCTTCTCTTCCCTCTGTAAGAAGCAGCTGTGTTTGTTGGGGCTTGCCTTTGGCAGCCAGATTTGTTGTATCTTGATTCTTTCAGTTTATCATTAATGAAATTCTTCTGTTACTTATAAAAAAAATCAGAGTTTACATGATTGAATATGTTTTATATGTTATACTTGATTTTATTTTTAAATTTTCATTTTAAATATGTTTTACATGTTATGTTTATGTATTTTAATTTGAGATAATAGTTTTTTTAAAGCATTTATTTTAAAATTTATGTTAATATTTTTAATTAAAATACTGATGATTCTTTATTTCAGATTTATTGCTGACTTGTCATCCTTCATTGCAGAGTTTGTGTTTTGCTTCCATCTCTTTCATTTGATGCCACCATTGATTGTGATGTATGTCATCTTAGCAAACCTCATCACATTCCATTTCCTCCTTGGAGCATTGTTCGTGTGTCCAAACCATTCCAGTTAGTTCATTCTGATATTTGGAATCTGTGTCCAGTCGTGTCATATTTGGGTTTCAAATATTTTGTCACTTTTGTAAACGCCTTTTCTAGAGTCACTTGGTTGTATTTGTTGAAGGACAGATCAGAGTTATTTTTTGTATTCAAGTCATCTTTTATGGAAATAAAAATCCTGTTTGGCTCAAGGTTCAAAATTTCATTACGGCCGATACATATCGTATCAGTGGGTCACCAATACGTGAAATGTAAGGAGTTTCGGGGTACGACCTGTTTCAGGGGGTAACCAGGCCTTTAACTGACCCCTTGAATTGAAAAAAAAACTAAAAAATATAAAAGTGGGTCGATACAAAGTCCGATACACCCAATTTGGCGTATCGGACTGTATCGAAACTCTGAACCTTGGTTTGGCTTCAATATTTGTGTTTTGCAATCTGATAATGCAAAATAATATTTGTCTTCTCTTTTTTTTTCCCAATTTTCTTGATGAACATGGGAGCCCACATCAAACATCATGTGTTTCCACACCTCAACAGAATGGTGGCTGAACATAAAAATCGTAATTTGTTGGAAATTGCACGAGCATTACTAATTCAGATGAATGTTCCTAAAATCTATTGGAGAGATGCTATTCTCACAACTTGTTATCTTATCAATGGGATGCCATTCTCTGTGTTGCGTAATTAGATTTCTTACTCTGTTCTCTTTCCTAACTCACCTCTATTTCCTCTTGAACCCCGGGTTGTTAAATGTGTTTTCTTGGGTTACTCTAGAACAAAAAAGGGCTACAAATGCTACAATCCTTTGCTTTGTGTTAAATGAGTGTGGCCCATACGTCTATGGCATAGGTGCCAAACATTATTACAAGAGGTAGAAGAAAAACTAGAAGTAGTAGACAACAAACAAGAGTCTAATGAAGCTCGCTTATTTTCAAATTCTAGGGCAAACAGTCTCCCAAGCCTATGCCACTTCTCCTTCAGCTCCCCAGTGTGCTGGTCCAGTATAAAACAACCGTCATGAGTAAACAAAACATTATTACCAATTTATCATCATCAACAAGTTGTCCAACAGTAGTCAACTTAGGTGCAAAAAAGGTTTTGGGAAGATGTAAGGGTGTAGACTCAGACGTGGATAGAAATAAATCATCACACCCACATAGAAGAAGAGAATCACCATTAGCAGTTGTTAGCGTAGGGGTATTTCTGTCCTTATACCCAGATTAAGGTTGCTGATCTGTAATGTTGTGTTAGAACCAGTGCTCCTTCCTTAAATAAGGGCACATATGTCTTTTCAATTATTTTAATAATAAAAAGCACTGTCTGGCCGAATGGGAGTTATGTTCTTGAGACTTCCAATTCAAACCAGACTTTCTCCTTTTCTCTTTCTCTCTTTCTCTCTTTCTTCCTCCTTTCTACCTCTTTCTACATAATCAATCTTAGACAAATAGAACTCCAAGGCAGGCCGAATCATAACGGCAGTAATAATGTGGTTAACAAAGGTGTAGGATTTAGAAGACTGACCAAAGGAAGCCCCAGTCATGTGGTTTGAGGCCCTAGAGTCAATCCACATGTGTGAAGGAGAAGAACACAAATAAGCGGACTTACCATCCAGTCCAATAGCAGAAAAAGCAGAGGAAATGGCCGAGGACATAAGCTCATGAATCTTATCTTTAGTCAAGTTTCCCTGTGAATCAGTTTTGGTGAGCTGATGAAGAGGAAGTAGTATTAGTTGGAGTTGGTTTAGCTGAGGCTTGATAAGCCTTATGTTGTCCTTTCTTGGGGGGTTTGGTTGGGCATTCCACTATAATGTGTCCCTACTGAAGGAAGGGGAAATCCATCATATGGATGGCCGAACCATGCTGGATGGTAGGGCAAAATTTCAAAAGTTTTCTTTTACCCTTTCAGGAACCGCATTCCCAGTTTAGAAAAACTGCATTTTTCAAGGATTGTTCTTGCACCGAATCGGACCAGATCTGAAACCCAAAGAAAGGGAGAAGAATACCTGATATGGATTCCACACGAGTAGTTTCCAAAGTTGGTGTTTACGCCCAAAGAAGGTACCAAAACCAGCTTCCACTGAAGATGGCACAACTTAGGGTGAAGTTGGTTGAACAACGTAGTCCTTCAGTAAGAACGCAATCCAACAGCTTGGATCGAGCAAGGGAGATGAGAACGAAATTAATCTGATTTTTCTTGCAAAAATCAAAAACCAAGACTGGTCAAGATCAGCCACCAAGTGGAGAACGAACTAGGGTTAGGGCGGCAAGAGCAGAAAGAGAGAACCCCAATTTTATTAATATTTTATTTTATTCATCAAAAAAAGAGCAGAAAGAGAGAATAAGAGTAGAAGTGTGTAATCTGGAGCAGCTCACCCTCTATTTATAAGCCTTAAAGATCAGCTCTCCTAATCCAAATCTTTATTTGGATTTGGACTCTTTAAGTGGATAAGACTTATCCTCCTATCCTAAAGGCTGATCTAAACCCTTATCCAAACCCAAATTCACCACATGACTGCTTAATTAATCCAATTAATTATGGGCCTTAGGCCCATTAAGCAAGTGGCTCACATCCCCTTTTAGTTGCTGGCCAATTTGGCTCTCTTTGTATGGCGTGGGACCCCAACAATGACCTCACATAAGCCCATATGGGTTCAACCCAGCTTTTGTGATAAAGCCCGGCCGAATTCACTGTCAAACACAGTGAACCCTTGAGTCCATCAGTATGGGTTCTTAATGGGCCCATTACACTAAATGGTCTTTGAGTTCAGCCATCCTATGAAGGCCCAAGGACAATGGTCTTAAGTGAGATTAGCCCATCAGGTATCATAGCCCTAAATGGTCTTACACTTAACCTCTCAGCCCTTAATGATCAAACACTGCCCGACAAGGGAGGACCTCTCCCCTGGCTGCAAGGTGCAGTGTTGCACTCTCTACTTGGATGGATCCTGGGAATTAAAACCTTTTGCAAACCTTTTTC